TATATTTGATTTCCAGTTAATTAATGTAGTCCTTACATTGATCTAGGATTTTATATGTGTTCCTCATACTCTATTTTTTTTGTAGGAGCACTAAAATGGGCTGAACAAATGGACGAAGACACTTTGGCAACATCGGATCCCATTGATGTCCATACTTTGAAAGGTACCAAAATGAAGCAGCGGCAAGACAAGAAACGATATAGGAAGAGGTTGATGCCGGCTAGGGAGATAGCAAGTCAGTCAGCAAGGAAACAACTCAACAAGGAACTGAACGCAAAGAGGAAAAAAAATAACACCTAAATATTGATTGTAATTTTGCTACTGAGATGTTCCATTTTTGATTTAGTACACGATGCATTGAACGTTGTTCGGTTAGTTGTACACTTCTGTTTCTGGTACTGGTAACTGTAGTTGTTTCAGTTCCCTATCACTATTATTTACTAGTACATATACTACTGGTAAGTACCATTACTGGCCATAGTTTAAAACGATGCATTACTGGTTATAGTTTAAAAGAATAACACCTAAATACTGGTAACTGTAGTTGTTTCTGTTCCCTATCACTATTATTTACTAGTACATATACTACTAGTAAGTACCATTACTTCTACCCACTAGCAGAATGACACTTGTACCATATACTAGTACATATACTGCTGGTACATATACTAGTACCATATACTAGTACATATACCAGAAACAATGAAGTGCCCAGGTAACTTATACTAGTACACATACCAGAAACAATGAAGGCCTTGACGGAAATATACTACTGGTACCATTACTAGTACATATACTACTGGTAAGTACCATTACTGTTCCCTATCACTGTTATTTACTAGTACCATATACTACTGGTAAGTACCATTACTGCTACCTACCAGCAGGTCATTTTTGCAGTTGGCAATAAGCTCTGGATTGGAATAGTGGCTTTAAAAAAAACAATGCACTTTGCCATGGGAGGGTGCTGTATTCATTGTTTAATTAAATAACAAGAGAAGTACTGTGTCCTCAAACAAATAAATATGACTAAAAGCCAGCACCTACTAAAACTTTGTTCATACTCCTCGCACGTAAACAAATACCATACTGCTGGAAATGTGGGAAACTACTACTGGTTTTTCTGAGTATATCCATGGAGTAAACCCTGCCTCATCTCAAAAGCTTTACGCATCACCTCATCGCGCTTCAGATTACTTGGGTCATCGATCAAATTTTTAACCAACTGTGCCGACCTGTTCATCAGATAACTTGATTGGCGCCATTCTTTCTTCCATTGACCAAGAAGTCTCCCTTCCCAAAACTCGCAGAAGTTGAGGCAACTGATCCCCCCATGTGTGTCTTCATAGCTGTTTATGCTTGTAACCGGACGCCACAGGAATTCTTCCCAGTTGTATTTCAGATTCAACTTTGCTTCCATATAGTGAGTTGGAAACTTTACGACCTCCTCGCCAAGTCTTCGTAAGAATGGTGTAAATTTGCCCCCGCTGCAGTCGAAGAACTCGAACTTCTTGTCTTTGAGGTTGACACAGTACAACACCAACTTAGACTCGGAATTGTACGGCACGAACCACTGCAACCAAGCATCAACATTGGAGTGAATTTGTAAGGCAATAACAAGTGCACAAAACATAAAAACAAGCACAAAACATGGAACGTGGTATTCTTGAGATGTCTTAGTTCTATGTTACTTACAAATTTACAATCATGGAGTGTCTTCCCATTCAGCCACTGGCTCTCCTCAAGCATATTACACGTCTCCCCCACCCAATCATTCGGTGTGTTCATTGGAGCATTCCACTCAATCATAGTTGCGATGTGTCGTTGAAATAGAGGTTCCAAAATGGACCGTCAATATAATCATTGGTACTTATAGCCCAGTATATAAGTGGTACCAGTTACTGGTACCATTTTGAAAACTATCACTTACAAAAATACTGGTACCACTTTGAAAAATAGAAACCATAAATGAAAGTGGGAGGAAAATGGCATCATTCTTACTGCATGCCCGGTGTTGTAAACCCATCTTGTGATTGTATCAGTTAAGCCCGTCTTCCTGTTGAGATAATCGGCATAACAGTCTACAAAATTGCTAGTCATAGTCATGGGAAATACTGCTGACATCGCATCTTGCCTGCTCAATGTATACTTGCTGCCGGCAACGATGCTTAGCACTTCATTGTCATCCCTAAAAAGAGATTGAGAATCAAATATGTACATGTGAGTAACAAGTAAGCAAATGTAGAAATCATTTAAAATGTTTGCCCGGCTAAGCGAATGATCCATACCTATCACAATCTTTCATGCACGCATACTCGAAACTTAACTGTCCTTCTGATATTGGGTCTACAATGTCTGCAGTCCCGCTTGCAGCAGAGGACTGAACAGTTAGTTGGCCACCAGCCGCTTTAGTCAGCTTTGGGAACAGTGAAGTGCCATCGAATGCACGGTAGGGAGACAACATCGACTGACTAGGTTGTCTTTTGGCGCGAAGTTGGTAGACTTTGGTGCGGTGTATTGTCTCCTGGAAATCATCGTCACCATCGGCCTTCACTATGGCCAATGTTCCCGCCTCAATGTCTGGTGTGATGTCTGCCAAAGACTCAGGTATTGCCACAGATGGGTCCATTTCAGTCTCTTTTTTGGCTTGCTCCCCAGTTTGATAATTTTCTACAAAAAAATACATGTCAGTTGTAACCAGGGATAAAAGTTGTTCTCGCTACTGGTACATTGACCTCAATGTACTGGTACCAGGTTCGCGTCACTGGTACCACTACCAGTGACTCTCAACATGTACAAATCCCAAGGTACTGGCAGTCCCTAAAGGGCATATATGCTAACAACAAAGAAGAACAACCATCAATTGTTTACCTCCTCTAGGTTGAACACCGTCCCCAACGGTGGTAGGCTTCACCCTCGCTTCACTTAAGTTACCGCGATCTAAATTAGAGGAACATACAGATAATCGTCAACAAAAAAACAAACAAACCCATTTTGTATGCAGAAAACCTACCATACCCTCACCTCCAGATAATATAGCCTCATTCACTTCAGTAGACCGGGTGTATTTTCCAGTGTTCCCAACTCCAAGATTATTAGGGTCTACAAAATAAGCAATGTTAGTTCTTCATGTTATTATGGGTATTAGTAGTAGTACTTGTACTGGTTCCCATACGAGTACTACTGTATACACCACCAATAACTAGTGGTACTAGTTACTATACCGGTTGCATCGACTTCATCACCATGGTTAGATGCTTCGTGTCCTCTATCATTGTCACCCTCCTCTTCCCCAGTATTAGTACCTTCACCCACAGCACCATAGTCCCCGTCTGCACTTCCATCTTCAGTGTCCGCAACTTCCTCTTCGTCATCCCCGTCCCCATCCTCACCTTCATCTTCCTCCTCGTCATCATCGGGTTCTTCATCTTCAGCACCATCGTTTTCCTCCTCGCTTTCAATTTCCTCCTCGTCATCCCCATCCTCATCTTCCCCACTGACAACTGTTGTAGCACTAGCTCGTAATCCTTCTGCACCATCGTTCGTGTCCATTACCATGATGTCCTCAACCTCTGCAACATCAGCATTATCTGCATCATAGCCCCCTACCTGGGCCTCCTCACGATGGATTTCATTAATGCGACCATCGCACTCAGCTATTCTGCTAGCAATAACAGATGCCATATCCAGAAACCCCTTTCTAAGTGCAGTTACCTGTAACCAAATAAACATTTCCAAAGTATAAGTTTTTTGAAGGTGCAGTGGTTTTGACCAAAATAAGTGTTCCACCATTGGAAAATTACTGTTACACATTCCCAGTAGTGGTACTAGTACTTCTACTACTAGTGGTTACTGGTACTAACAAATTACTGGTAGTGGTAACATTACTACTGGTACTAACAAATTACTGGTACATCCATTGACCAAAATAAGTGTTCAACCATTGGAAATTACTTGTACCACTACTGGTATCACGGTTACATGTACCACTACTAATTACTGGTACATCCATTACTACTGGTACTAACAAATAAGTGTTCTACCATTGGTATTGTTACATCTACCAGTAGTAATTACTGGTACATCCATTACTACTGGTACTAACAAATTACTGGTTCATCCATTGACCAAAATAAGTGTTCTACCATTGGAAATTACTACTACCACTAGTAGTTACTGTTACATGTACCACTACTAATTACTGGTACATCCATTATTACTGGTACTTGTTCGTTCCCATGACTATATTTCTATTCTAAGAAAAAAAAAAGGAAGGGTAAGGTGTTGTATGAAATACCTCTAACAGCCCCATGTGAGCAATGTCGATAGAAACGGCAGCAGAAGCGGTGTGGTGCATGGGATCACGTGAAGTAGCTACAGATTTGGCAGTTCTATCCCTCTTTGCAGCCTTTTCCTGCTTCGGATGAATTGCTTTGGGACAGTTCAGTGTAGGCGTAGGAGGGAGAGGAATGAATGGAACAGTAGCAAACATCTTATACTTCCGCAACAATGCTTTGCTTCGGGTCTTACAGGCAGACGTGTTCCATAATTTGCATGAGGGGATATCTGTGGGGATCTCTAAGCTGTCTACAGTCCTATCCAGAAACCAGACCAACAACAGGTGGAGATCGCCATTTGTATAGCTCCTAGTCTTATTAAGAGTGAAGGCCGACCTCATGAAATCCCACAAATAGTAGCACCAGTCATACTCAGCAAACTGTGAGAAGTCATCGTCCTTCAAAAACTCCAACACCAACGAATTACCAACGTTCGCTGTGCTGGGAGTGAATAAGTAACCAAAGGCCGTGGGTACAAAAAGCCGGATCCACAACCTGTCATCCTCCACTGTACGAAGTATATCCTTCAACTCCCAAATCTTTTTTGAACTTGCTAGTTCATCATCCTTGTCGTGTAACGCTTCTCGCAGCTCCTTCACTTGATCTGGATCAATCTCAGGAACCATCTTCGGCCCACGTGGAAGGCCATATACCCTCTGTACATCATCCACAGTGAAATTCAGCCCCCCCCCCCCCATCCTCCATTGATATGGACATTGAATCCACGTCAAAAACTCTAGTCATCCACCCCAGCAAGGTCATATCAAATCGCCTCATCTTCAAATTGAGCAGACATCCAAGACCCAACTTCTGCAGAATAGCCTCCCGCGCCGGCGTAATACTACCGTCCAGCATCTCAATGACTGAATTCGGGCTGCACTTCTTCCCGAACCCGCTTGCACTTGTTCCACCTTTCTGTTTCTTCATGTTCGTCTTCTCGCATGGATTCTCCGTGTCCCCATCCCGTTGTCGTTTCTTACTTGGACCAGATTTAGATGACTCCCCTACACGGATCTCAACCTGCCGAGAAGCGTACGTAACAGGCTGTTTTCCTCTATGGTCTCCTTCTACCGGTAAGTCTTTTGCCGTTGACACGACGCATGGAGTTTTTGTTCTCGCCATTCCTAGTACCAAAACAACCAACCTACAATTGTTAGACATGTTGATTAAATTTTACAAATACCAACTAGATGAATCATTCAAACAGAAGTAGATGCCATATCTAATTTACAAATACTGTGATTGGTACCACTACCACTAGAGTTTTTACCAATACACCTACCACTACCACAGTGATACCAATTTAAAGTACCACAGTGATACCAATACAACTACCACTACCACAGTGATACCAACTAGATGAATCATTCAAACAGAGGTACTAGATGAACCATTCCTACTACCACTACCACATGTTGTACTGGTACATGTACGGATACTGTGACTGGTACCACTACCACTAGAGTCGGTACCAATACCACTACCACTACCACAGTGATACCATTTAAAAGTACCACTGGAATATACATGCAACAAACAAGGAGAACAAGAAATACAACATGAGCCGAACCCAACGTGCCAGTCGGATCACGCAAAACTTGTACTATACTAAGATCTCACCTATCACTTGATCCTGTTCTGTTTTCAACCGCCGTAGTCAGGGTCGTCGGCGGCAGAATGTCCGGCGTTGCACTGGAATAACAAACAAAATTGAAATGAGAGTTCCCGGAATTCAGATTATAGCATGAAAGATGGTGCATGACGACCAGTTGAACCCAGTCAATGGAAATTCAACCGAGGTAAGTTCACACGACTAGAATCCGAAATATAGGAGTGTAGGAAATAGAGTTGAGCTGACTTACCACTCTCAACGAACCACCCTCCGAAAAATGGTTGGCGAACTATTTTTTGCGGCGGAAAAGGAAACCGCCGACAACGTGATCTGCGGCGGAGGAGCGACGAGCAGTTGTGGCGGAGGGGCGACGAGCAGTTAAGGCGGAGGGGCGACGAGCAGCTGCGGCGGAGGGGCGACGAGCAGCTACAGCGGATGAGCGACGAGCAGCTGCGGCGGAGAGGGATAGAGCAGCTGCGGCGGAGAGGGATAGGGTTTTTTTCTTCTTCTTCTTAGGAGTTTTGGTAGCAGACGGAGGCAAGGGAAGAGGGATGATGGTAGGCGAACGGTTTTTTACCGGGGAAAGTGGCTAATTTGCCTCCGGAAAAACATCCCCTTCAACCCGAGGATCGCGTGCGAACACATGTGGCGTGCGGAGGAACGGATCCAGTGCGGCTCATCCAATGTTTACCCCTGATTTATATCAGCCGCCAGATCAAGAGAAGGGGGGATCTACGGCTGGGAACTGGGAACTGGGAACTGGGAACTGGGATCAACCGAAGCCAATTTTCGGTTGTACCATGGCTCAACCTAAGGCAATTTTCGGTTGGTCCATGGTACAACCGAAAATTTCATTAGGTTGAGCCATGGTACAACCGAAAATTGGCTTCGTTGAGGGGTTTCGGAATTTTTTTGAATTTTTTTGTTTTATATCAATAATTTTCTATTCTTTTACTACGATTTATGGTTCGGTCCATAAGATAATTTGTTGGATTTTGGTTTATATTTTTTAGATTTATCGAAGGGGAGGGGTTGTTTGTCTTGTGTTTGATTTTGAAATTCAAAATGGGCAATTACGTAAATTACATATTAAGTTAGGACGATAGTTAGTAATTTTTAGGACGACCTTTAACCATTCAGAAAATTAAAGGTTTTCCAGGAGAGAGAGGATGCTGATGTCATGGTGATGTGGACGGGTTACTCATGGTTACTCACCATAAGGTTACTGAACTGATCCATTCCCTAAAAGTTGGGGTCGTTTGGATGAGGAATTGTAACGGATCAATTTGACACAATTATTTCGTTTTGAGATAATTGTACTAAATTGTCTCGTTTGCCAGCAAGAAATTTGGATGGACCAATCTGCCTGGGATATTTTGAATTGATTCGTTTTGAGTCAATTTTAATTACCTAAGGTGGAGGCAGATAATTCGAATTGACTCGTTTATAAAATGAAACAATTGATCAAATTGACTCATTCCTAGATTGATCCATCCAAACGAGTTTTGTACAATTTTCATTTTTCACGCGATTCTAAATCAATCAAACGCATCTCGCCCTATCACCGAGCTACTCCTCCGCCGCCGCCATTCTGGAAACTATTCGATCCGGGCGAGCTTTGCTCACTGAGCCACGGGTCCCGAACAGACACCGGCGAATATTCCTTCACCGATCTCTCCTCCGCCTTCACACAATCCGTCTCCGTCCTAACCACAACCAAACAGTCGCTGCGCATCTCACCTTTATCAAAACTCAAACTCAGCGGCTTCTCACTGTCATTCGTCGACGAAGACGAACAGCACGGCGAGATCTCCGACCCCAACCCACCTCCGCTACTGTCGCCCTGGCTCTTCCGCGACTCCGCCGATCTGCAATCCCTAATTTGCTCCAGCTCCGCCGCGACCTCAATCATCCCCGGCCGCAGCTCCCTGTCGTACGCCAGACACCGGAACGCGATCTCCGCCACCCGGTGAATCGAAGAGAGCGTCCACGCGTCGGAATTCAGATCCAGAAACGGATCCACGATCTCATCCAGCCGCCCGCTGCCTATCCGATCCGCGGCCAGATTCGCCAGATTGACCTCGCTCGACGGCCGGGAGAAGTCCACGGCCTTCATCGCCGTTATAATCTCGACGAGAACGACTCCAAAGCTGTAGACGTCGCTCTTGTCGGAGAGGTGGAAGTTCTGGTGGTACTGCGGGTCGAGGTAGCCGGGCGTCCCCTGCGGCGCGGTGGAGATGTGCGAGATCTCGGGCATCCCGGGCTTCCCCAGCCTGGAAAGCCCAAAATCAGCCACTTTGGACTTGAAATCGAGGTCCAACAATATGTTGCTGGTCTTAATGTCTCTATGATAAATGGGCGGGTCGATTGCCGAGTGTAGATGGGCTATCGCTTGGGCCGTTTCCAGGGCGATCGCGAGGCGGACGGGCCACGACAACGGCCCATCCCCACGCTCCCTTTGTAAATGCTGACTCAAGGTGCCATTGGGCATGAACTCGTAGACGAGGATTTGCTCGCCTCGTTCGATGGAGCAACCCAGCAATCGAACCAGATTCGGGTGGCTGACCGACGAGATCAGCTTGATCTCGTTCAGGACCTGCTCGATGCTTTCGGTGTCGCGGTTTTTGATGCGCTTGATCGCGACCAACGAGGAATCGCTGCCGCCGCGGTGGTGCAGTTTGCCGGAGTAAACGGTGCCGTATGCCCCTGTTCCGAGCCTCTGTGTGTCGGAGAACCCGTTGGTGGCTCTCTCGATTTCTTTGTATTGGTAGATTGTGATGTTGATCCCCTTGGCTTCGGCTAATCGGCGCTTCGTGGAGCTTTCGGCGTTTGAGGCCGATCGCCTTCGGATGAAGCAGCAGGCGAAGGCGAGGCCGAGGATTAGTGCTGTTGCTGCGCCGAATCCTGCGACAGGAAGGATTACGAAACGAAATTGGTGATGGCATTACAAGTGAAACATTACCTACTATGACACATTGCAAAATAATAACATGTATTCCAAATTACATGATTTTCGTACCGAAATGAAACAAAAAAAAGTGTAAAAGAAGTTTATGTATCATCACAGACATTCATTACCTCCAGTTAAGATGGCAATACCAATGGGTCTGCAGTAGCCCAGCAAGTATTCAGAGGATCTGCATGAGTCTGTTTATACATTCACAAAGCGAAGAAACGTCAACATGATAGTAATGATTTTTCTTAATTAGAAATTTGAAACTATATTAATATGGAGGAGAGTAGCCGCCGCAATAAATTAAATGTGTTATTATGGAGGAGCCCATGCATTTGCGGATAAGGTGATGATGATGGTGAATGATCATCCACGTTGTGGAAGGTAATTAAGTAAAATAAAAGTCACCACCTAATCTAACCAACTCCCATATACTTTTGAGCTCATCGTCGATTAAAAAATTCATGCTATAGATTTAACTTTTATATTTGGTTAAAATGAATTTGGAGGTAAGCCCAGCAGAGAGTGACGTAGGGTGGAAACTGGAATTGGGCCGCTGAAATTGTATTACTCAGTGGTTAATTGTTTCATGTCATACCCAATAATACATCGGGCCCACTAGATAAAATGATTAAATGGGCCCTTATCTCTGATTCTATCTCTTCACGCTCAATCCACGTCGGATCCATTCCTTGGAGCTTTTGCTCATTATTATTTGTTCGTTGAATACTCATTATTATTTTTGACTAAGCAAAAGGACCACACAAGAAACATAAATTATTATTTTAGTCCCTGAATTTAAGAATTTTCTGCTCTAGCCGTACTAAATTAACACAATGAATGCCAATAAATTTAGTATGTAAAAAAAAATGCCAATAAATTTAGTTTTTTAGCTAATTAGTGGAAAACCAAATCTCTGAATTATTGTGGCTTTAACTTCACTCCACTCCGTACGTGATTAGGAAAAATATTTTTTATACCATAAAATAACAGACTAATTGCCTAATCAATCGTCTTAATTAATACTTAGCCGCCCCGATGGCGTTAATTACGTCGTTTGCCAAAAATCCAAAAGAGGAAATCCACCTCATAAATTAAAAATTAAAACGACCTGACCTTTGCGGCAGCCGACGCCATCGCGGTAGCCATCGCCGGAGAACCCACGCCGGCATCCACACCGATACCCGGGCCGCCTCCAGTCGGTCGTATTCACGACCCGGCACTCGGCATCCTCCGAACACGTGGCGCAACGCCTGCCGTCCATCCACCACTCGAGCTCCATCATCTGGACCTCCAGCGACACGCCGGAGGTATGATCCCCGGCCACCGCATACTCCACCGAGATCGACGACATCAGGTACTCGCAGTCCGTGTGGCGCGTCATGTTGGCGTAATCGAACAGCCCGTTCCACGTCAGCGAGTCAGAGAAGCAGCTGAGGCTGCCGTTGGTCCCCCCGGGGCGGCCGGAGCAGTTGACCGAGTTGACCGGCTCGAAGTGGGTCTGGACGTCGATCGTCGGGATGTTGCACGTCCACACGTCGGAGCAGTTGTGGAGGA